GAGCGCGGCGGGGCGGGGAAGCGGGCCGCGCTGTGGGGATCGGGATGGGGATCGGGATGGGGATCGGGATGGGTCGGGGGGCGCCGGGCCCGCTGTGGGCAGCGCCCCGCTGTCGGAAGCGGTCTCGCAGGCAGGACGCAGGGCCTGTTGTTCGGGAACGCACCGGGAAGAGCCCGGGCCTCGGCGGGAGCCGCAGCCCGTGCCGGGGTCCGGCCCGTGCCCCGGGCCCGGGCCCAGCCAGGCTGGCTCTGCAGCCGCTCTGGAGCCCGCGGCTCTGCGGCCGCTCTGGAGCCGCTCGGACAGCAGCTCTCTCAGGGAAGGTGGATATGGGTGAATCCGAGGGCGCCAAGGATCGTTTCCTTTGGGAACGTGGCCTTTGGTAACAGCCGGCGGCTCTGGCTGTCCCTGCCGCCCTGCCTTGCTCCATCGCCCAGTGCTTTCACCCTGTCTCTCTTCACACAGGTGTGTTGCCTTATCGGAGACGATGCTGTTGGAAGGAGCTGCTTAGCCCCCCACGATGCCCTTTTCGGACTTTGTCCTAGCCCTGAAGGACAACCCCTACTTTGGGGCCGGGTTCGGCCTCGTGGGGGTGGGCACGGCGCTGGCGCTGGCCCGGAAAGGGGCCCAGTTTGGGCTGGTGGCCTTCAGGCGCCACTGCATGATCACCCTGGAGGTGCCCAGCAAGGACAAGAGCTACCACTGGCTGCTGAGCTGGATCTCGCACCACGCCAAGCACACGCAGCACCTGAGCGTGGAGACCTCCTACCTGCAGCATGAGAGCGGCCGCGTCAGCACCAAGTTCGACTTCGTCCCCAGCCCTGGGAACCATTTCATCTGGTAAGGGAGGGCAGGGGAAGAAGGAAAAGCAGCTGGAGAGCTGGCCAGCGTTTCGCCAAGAAAGCTGCAACCTGTGGGGCCCGTGGAGGCTGCTTCTGTCTTACATCAGATTAGGGCAGAAGATGGGAAGCCCATATTCACCAGGGTGAACTGATCTCTTTACCTGGGAGGAATATGCCCCTTGAGGCACGGTTTAAGCTGTGGCCTTGCTCTGGACCCAGCTGAGCAGCAGATCCCTGCATGTAGCCAGTAGTGATGTGCCAGGCATCGGACACGGTGGTGCTGAGCCTGCCTTGCTGGGCCTGTCCCCTGCCGTGCCCTCTTTGGGGACAAAGGAGGACAGTCCTGGCCCATCTGGCCGGGAAAGGAGAAGCAGCAGCTGCAACTCGCCCTCAGCTGAGTGCCCGCAAACATCTTCCCGCTCCAGGTACCAGGGGAAGTGGATTCGCATCGAGCGCAACCGGGAGAAACAGATGATCGACCTGCACACTGGGACCCCGTGGGAGTCTGTCACCTTCACCGCGCTGGGTACCAACCGGGAGATCTTCTTCAACATCCTCCAGGAAGGTGGGTAGGGGAGGCGCGCGGGGCGCTGCCGGGCACGGCCTGCTCGCCAGGGGACCCCTCCTGGCTTGGCAGGAGGCCCCTGTCRCCGCCAGCCGTCGCCCCGTGCCTCTCTCTGCAGCCCGGGCGCTGGCTCTGCAGCAGCAGGAGGGCAGGACCGTCATGTACACGGCGGCGGGAGCCGAGTGGCGGCAGTTCGGCTTCCCCCGGCGCCGCCGCCCGCTCCGCTCCGTGGTGCTGGACGCCGGCGTGGCCGAGCGGCTGCTGCAGGACGTCCGGGAGTTCATCGAGAACCCCAAGTGGTACAGCGAGCGAGGCAAGGCCCGCGCCCCCTCCCCAGCCCTCTGCGCCCCTCTCAAGTGCATGAAGGGGGAACGGAGGGAGGAYGGGGCCAAGCTCTTCTCAGTGGTGGCCAGTGACAGGACAAGGGGCAATGGGTGTAAATTGAAACACAAGCAGTTCCATCTCCACGTGAGGAAGAGCTACTTTACTGTGAGGGTGTCAGAGCCCTGGAACAGGCTGCCCAGGGAGGTAGTGGAGTCTCCTTCTCTGGAGGTCTTCAAAACCCGCCTGGATGCCACTCTGTGCCCCGTGCTCTGGGTGTCCCTGCTGGAGCAGGAAGGTTGGACTAGATGATCTCTAGAGGTCCCTTCCAACCTTGAACATTCTGTGGYTCTGTGGCCCTCGGCCGCGGGGACCCATCTCGCTCGCTCAGCCGGGGCTGCGGAGCTTAGGCCTGCGCCTGCGACAGGCTCCYCTCAGCTCAGTGGGGTCAGATCTCRGGCATACAGTTAAGATCCAGAAGTGCTGCCCGTGCCCTGTGTTCTCCCCTGTCCTGCAGCCCTGTCCTGTCCAGGTGAGAGGCTTTGTCTTGTCTCGGCTGCATCRGCAGACCGCGTTTCCACAGCCTTGCTGCTTTGCAGCTCTGTGTCTGAGCCTGGGCACAGAGCTCCCTCCAGCTCTTTGGGCCTCTGGCCGTGCACAGCAATTAAACAGAYTCCTGGTGAGAGACTTTTCCGGAGCAAATTCTCCAGCATCCACTCCCTGGAGTCAGGATGAGCAGAGTTCACTGCTCCTGTGCTGCTGCTGTGGGAGAGGCAGGGTGCCAGAAGTCCTCTCTGGGGGCAGTTGCAGAGTGATGTTTTTGTCCTTCTTGCAGCTGTTCTGGGTGGGAGGATGCCTTAGCTGGTAGTGGTGCCTCRGGTCTGTGTGGGCAGATAACCACAGTGGCAGGGACCGAGTAGTTAGTTGCTGTTAGCTGCATCCGTATGAAGCAGCGTTCCCCAAAACATGGTTCATGGAAACCACASCACCAGTGGCACAGAACAGTCCACACTAACAGCTCAGGTTCCTTCCCTGAGGTTGTCACCTGTGGGGGGACAGTTGGATGGACAGCGTTTGAGGCCTCGTGCAGGTTCCTAGAAGGACCCTGTCTTCCTAGGGATCCCGTACCGGAGAGGCTACCTGCTGTACGGCCCGCCCGGCTGTGGGAAGAGCAGCTTCATGTGAGTGTTTCTGCCAGGGAACGGGCGTCCCTGCGGGCAGGGGGTGTGTGGACGGGTTTGGCTGCTGCCCAGGGACACCCTGCTCTGCCGTGTCCCCCTGCCTCTGCTCGGGCTTCGTGCCGGGCTCACGGGCACCGTGTGGGCAGCACGGCGCTGGCCGGGGAGCTGCAGTACAGCATCTGCCTGCTGAGCCTCAGCGACCGCAGCCTCTCCGACGACCGGCTCAACCACCTCCTGAGCGTGGCCCCGCAGCAGAGCATCATCCTGCTGGAGGACGTGGACGCTGCCTTCGTCAGCCGGGACCTTGCTGCCGAGAGTGAGCACTGGCCGGGCTGGGAGGTCGTTTGGGCTCTGGGCTCCTTGCGGCTCTGCCAGTTCCCTGGGGCCCAGCTCAGCAGGGATCAGGAGTGGGCAGTCGTCTTGCTCCGTGTGGCCCAAACTGGACCTCGCTTGGTTTTGGCTGGGTGATACAATATGAGCTTTGGGGACCCTTGTCCTAGTAGTACCTCAGGAAAGGCATTTGTCCTGCTGAGCTTTTCTCAGCGTGAGGTATTTCAGCAGAGGGGACTTCTGGATTCCCTGGGGTGCCTGTGTTCAAGTGTRTGGGGTCTCAGCCAGGGAGAGGCTGAGGGTCTTCTGAGGGGAAGGAGAGAGCAGAGAAGTTGGTTAAGGTGGGAGCAGCCAGGCAGCTGTTTTGGCAAGCTGTGCTGAGCTTCAGGCCACAGGGAGGTGGCCTGTGAGACCCCCCMGCTGAGTGAGTGGCTGCCAGGTGGCATCTAAGACATCTGTGTCCCCAGACCCTGCTGTGTACCAAGGCATGGGGCGCCTGACCTTCAGCGGCCTCCTCAACGCCCTGGATGGTGTGGCCTCCACAGAGGCCAGGATTGTCTTCATGACCACCAACTACGTGGACAGGTCAGAGCTGCCTTCCTGGGGCGGGAGGATAAGGTGGCATGGAGAAAACTCACTCTCTTGGAGCCTTTTCCATGGGCTTCCTGGGAGGTTCTCTCTCTCACCCCCCTGCTTCTCSACAGGCTGGACCCCGCGCTGGTGCGGCCGGGGCGCGTGGACCTCAAGCAGTACGTGGGCCACTGCTCCCRCTGGCAGCTGTGCCGCATGTTCCAGCGCTTCTACCCGGAGCAGCCGGCGGGCGCSGCGGAGCGCTTCGCGGAGCAGGCGCTCGCAGCCTCCGACCGCATCAGCGCCGCCCAGGTGCAGGGCCACCTCATGCTCTACAAGTCAGACCCCAGAGGAGCCATCGAAAATGTGCGCTCCATCCTGCAGTGACAAGGGGTGAGCCCCGTCCCGCCGCGCTGGGAGACCCGGGAACTGCTGGGGAAAGCACGTGACCATCCTGAGGATGCTGTGGAACTGCCCAGGTACCCAGGCCCGGCCTTTTGTTCATCTACCTCATGAAGGCCTTGGCTTTTTATTAACACGTGCAGAGAGCTGGAGCTTCCTATCCCTGCAGGCAGCAGTGCAGGGGGATCGGCTCCAGCTGCTCCCTGACTCGGTGCTGATGCGCAGGCCCCGGAGCGCCTTGTGCTGGGATTGCCAGGGTTTCCGGACACGCCAGCCCCCCTGGCTCTTTCCCAACGCAAGGCATCGMGGCGCTGCCCTGCTGAGGAGAACTGCAGGTCTGCTCAGAGTGGCCTTTGGCAGAACAGTCTTCACTGTCTTGTGGAATGTCCCCTGTGAAGGGTGTAACATGGCATTTTCCTCTTGGGTCCTGTCTGCTTCTGTGTATGTGACAATCTTATCCCCTTGCTTGTTAGCTGCTTCATGGACCAGCTTGTGGCCCAAAGCCCTTTTCAGCTTTGACAGGCAGGGAGCAGCCTAGCTCCAGGCACTTCTCGAGGGATATCCTAGGCCTGGATCCCTGCTCATGGGGGCAGCYGGCTCATTCCCATGGATGCAGTTCATGGGTTACTGATAGACTGGCACAGGAAGAAGACATCAAGGCAAAGCAGCGATTAGCTCTGGGACCTTGGCTCCTCTTGAGACCATCTTCTTCTCTGGGGGCTGTTAGGGTGGTACTGCAGCAACCTGGGCAGCCCCCGTGCCCYGTGAGAGGCGATTTGCTTGGCTTGTGCTGCTGGGGTGAGGGCTTTGAAATCCAAACCAGGAGGGGAGGCCTTACCAGGCAGGCCCTGCAGCTCCTCCTCGGCACCACAGAGCTTGGGCAGGGGGTCAGTGCACGCCTGCTCCCATGGGAAGCGCCAGCTCCAGCATCTCCTCTGCCTGTTCCCAAATCCTCTCACCTCYCTTTGCGGAGGCTGCTCTCTGTGCTCAGGGCAGTAGTGCTGCTCCCAGCCGAGCGGGGGCCAAGCGAGGTTTGTGGGCAGGGGCAGCGCTCGCGCAGGAGGCACCAGCTGGGCTGCAGTGCCGCCCTGGCACAAAGTGCCCACTTGTGCAGCGTGCAGGGCCCTCTGTGGCAGGCTGCAGGGCCAAGGCTGTCCCTTTGCAGCAGCCCATGGTGTGGGGAGGGGCTGGTGCTTCCAGCTCTGCCAGTTCCCTGCCTGGGGTCCTTTGGTGGCAGTTTGCAGAGGGACAGAGGTCACACCATTGACCCCAGGGTGGCTGTCACCAATGAGAAAGGCTGCGGGACACACACAAGCCTGGCTCTGGGAAGCTGGTTTCAGGCCAGCCCTGATCTGTTAGGTCTCTGCTCAGCCCTGCTGTTTTTCTGTGGGGCCAGGGGCAAAGTTACAGCTACAGGAGAGCCAGGGGGCCCAGCTGCTCCCATCTGGCTGAACTGCAGGGCAAAGTAGGCGCAGGAGCCCTGGGAAGAGGCAGCTCCCAGCAGCCCTGCCCGCAGCTGCCCTGGGCACCGCCAGCAACCGAGTCGTGAGCAGGGCTGAACGGGCTGACCCTGCTGCCTCGGGGAAGATCCCAGTGACTCAGGTGGGCTCCTGCGGTCAGTGCCTGGAAACACGGAGCTGGAGCAGGAAGACCTCTGCTCGGCTGTAGCGCAAGTGCAAGGAGGAGCTGGGGAGCAGCTCTGTCCTCCTGCAGGGGCAGGAGGGGTGAAGGGCTGGGGAGCTCAGTGCCTGGCTCTAACCTTGCACATGCTGCTCGGGTGCTGCACCCGCAGCGAGGGCTGCACCCAGCCTGGCTGGGAGGTGGCAAGAGCAGCCCCCCAAGCCCTGCAGCTCAGACTCGCTCTCCCGAGCGAGGTGCTGCTCAAACCCTGTGCTCATCTCTCCCCTCAGCACTGCTGTGGTGGCTCAGATTGCCCGCTTGGATCCAGCCTCTTTCCACAGTGCTGGCAGGCGCAAAATTGTCCCCTAAACTCCTGGCAAACAGCAGGGGCCCRGGGCAACTCCTCAGGGTCAGGCAGATGGAGAAGGAGATGGGCACACAGCCCCCCCCCGCCACCACACAAGAGCACAGGCAGCAGCATCACTCACTCTGCTTTGCTTTTAATAGYGTTAATGCTACAGCCAGCAGCCCTGGCTGCCCCAGCCCGGCAGGAGGGCCCAGGCAGACACCCAAACACCTACTATGCCCTTCCTGACCCCAAACCCCCACCCTAGCCAGGCACAGGCTCCTGCCAGAGCTCCCTGCCGCTCCTGGCTGGGGGAGGGACCACAGGGGGCTGTGATGAGGCCTCCATGTCTCCCACAGCATCTGGGGCTTGTTCTGTGTAACCCCAATTCCTTTCCACACAGTTGAGAGACTTCCTCCGTTCCAGGCTGCCGGCAGCACCTCAGAAAGGAGAGGGCCCTTCCCAAATCCCAACACACAGAAGTATCCCCCTCCCTTCTAACAATTTTGGCATTGGTTTGCAATTACCTAGGTCCCTGCTTGCTGAATTTGAGCAGAAATTCCATGGGATTTCCAGGGCTGCCCTGCGCACGGCATGACAGCTTGGCGGCTGAGGACAGGCTGAATCCAGCTCTCTGGAGGAAGCAAGGAGGGGTTGGCTGCAGCTGTCACTAAGGGCACAGATCTCTGTGTCTCCTTCAGGACATAAGCAAACCTAGTTTTGGGGAGGGGCACAGGAATTTCACATGTAAAGGCAGAAGGCAGCAGAACAGCACCAATGGCAGCTCAAGTTTGCACCTCTCCTGCTCACCCAGACAGCTGCTCACCCCCCAGCAGGCAGGGAACAGCGGGAACAGGGCAAGCACTGGAGGAGGAAGACAAGGGCACATCCAGGGAGGCAGCAGTGGGGAGCCCAGCACTGCATCCCAGCAGGGCATATGGCACTCAGATCCCCAACCAGGCTGGGCAGCACAGGCTCTGACTGGAGAAGGAAAGGAGGAAGCTCAGCAGGGCATTAACAGGCTGGAGAGCAGGCTGAAAACAGGCTTTTCTTTTTTAATTTACAGGAGGAGGATCCCCTCCCTTGCAAAAAGAGAAAAAAAAAAGGAAAAAACACAACCAACTCTGGGGCAGCAACTTAAACCAGCATCATCAGGGAAAGGCTGAGAGGGAGGACAGCAGAGCAGGCAGGCAGTGGGAGCCATCCAAGGAAAGGTGTCTGCACCCTGTTTGTGTGAGAAGGGGCCTGAAAGGCTGAGCGAGGCAAAGGGAAAGCAGGGGCCCTCCTGGTGCAGGCAGACCCGGCTCTCCTGGCGCCTGCTCTGGGAGCCCTGGCAAATCCAAAGCTTGGTGACTTCTGCACTAGTCCAAGAGCGTGCAGCAAGAGACCGCCCAGGGAACGTCTCTGCTCGGGCTCTGGGTGCAGGGAGACACCAGCACAGGGCACAAGGGGGAAGGAAGCAATATTAGAGACCAACACTGGGAACCAAACAGGTCTGKTTTTAAGAGGGCAGAGCATACGAAAGGAAGAGGTTTGGAAGAAGATCCCATGCATTAATTCTTAGCATTTATGGACCATTCTGGAGACTTGGGATTTCCTGTCATGTTTCTGAGTGAGACATGGTTTAAACCCATGAAGCATYAGTAGAAGGAACTGCACCAGGGCCATGATAATATAAAAAGCAAGTCTCCATCCCCTTTCTTTAAAGCAAAAGCAGCATGAAGAGGTGAAAGGAGGTAAGAAAATTTGAAGTACTGGGACCTGTTTTTCACTCTGGACCTCTGTGAGCTACAAAACAACCTAGACTTAGAAAAGAATCCTAAAAAGTATGCAGGGGACAGAGCAGAAAGCTTTTCCCAGGCCTATCCAATGCAGCCACTGCCTGCAAAGGCAACAGAAGGACCCAGTAGAAGCTGAGCAGAGGTCAGGGCTGGGGAAACAGCAGTGTTGTCTCCAAGGACCAGCAGGGTGAGAAGACGCTCTCAAAATCATTTGGGGATGCAGCAAGCTGAGGTCTAGACTGCTGCCCAGTACAGCCTTATTGCCTGGTGCCATCATGCTCTGCAGGGATGCTCTATTCCAGGGAATTCCCATCTTAACTCTGGCTCTTCTGTGGCGCTGCGCTGGGCCTGACCCATTTGCTCTGCAGGCACTAATGTCTTTGGCAGCTCATTCAAGGTGAGTAATGGTCCCTGGTCAAGGCTTCCCTGCCTCTGCATTCTCCAAGACCAAGGCTGCTGTGACCACTGGCAGTCACCTTCTCTTGTGTCAGCGATGGCTCCTGCCAGACAGGCACGCTAAGATGCTTCATTCTGCACACATGCCCTAGACCCCTCCTTGCCCAAGCTGTGCCCCGTGCCACCAAGCTCTGCAGCGCACAAGTCCCTTGCCAAGGGGCACRGTGCCCGCTCGCCGCTGCTCCAACGGAGCCTTGGCCGCTCTGCCCAAACAGCCCTTCCCTCCCCTGCCCAGCCYGCCATGGCCCTGCTAGGAGCCGCTCTCCTTTTCCAGGGCATGGGCCTCTCGGCGCGCCCCGGGCCTGAGCGCCCCCCGACCTCTGGGTGCCCTGGGGTAGGCGCCGCGCTCCTGCACCCGGGACCTCTCCCACCTGCCGCAATCCCAGGGCCTGGGGTGGCCCTGCCAGCCGGGCGCTTCTCTGCGGCCGAGCGCTGGGTTCTCCTCATCGCACCGCTCCTCAGCCCCCTGCTCCGGGGTCCATCTCCTCACGTCAGGAAAATCCTCCTTCAAGTCCAACATCCCGGTTACTGGTGAGGGGTCTTCAGGGCGCAGCTCCTTCCTTTCAGCCAGGGCTGCAGCCCGGTTTCTGCCGGGAGGTTTCGGGAACTCTTGGCTGTGCCTCCCACCAGCTCTTTGGCTCCTCTCTTCCCTCCGCTCGGATCTGCGGCCGAAGCCCCTGTGGCCCCGGGYGCCGTGGGGCGGATGGCAGGGCTCCTCTGCGGCTCCCTGCACGTCGCTGCACGGCTGCCTGCCCCGGCCCCGGAGCCCCAGCCTCTCGCCTCTGGGCCTCTCTCGCTTGCTCTGTGGCTCCCTGGACACAGCCGGTCTCTCTGGCTGCCTGGCCTCTTCCCTGGCCTCTGGAGGCCCGGCTGGCTCTGGAGCCACGGGCTGATGCGGTGCCAGAGATGAATCCACAGCACTTGCAGATTGCGGCGGCTCGGAAGCAGGGGCTGCTTCACCCGGCTCAGCAGCAGAGGGAGGCTGAAAGAAAGAAGCCAGCGCTGAAGAGAGGGGCAGGGGAGCCCTAGAGCAGGTGACAGTGCGGGGCCTGGCAGCCCAGGGACSCCCTTGCCAGCGCGGAGCACAGTGATGCTCTGTTCCCGGTGCCGTACCGCCTGCAGGCTGATGAAGAACCGGTTCCTCTCTGCTTCAGGGTCGATAATGCCGCCCCTCTCCTGCTGCCTCTTGAAGATTAAGCGCAGTTCCTCTTGGTGCTGCAGGGTCCTGGCGTCCGGCCTGTAGGGCTCCTGAGCAGCAGAGAGCAGGGGTGTGGGTGGGCGGCTGGCAGCACTAATAGCGCCCCCCCAAACCCACCTCTGAGCCCCCAACAGCGCCTGTTCCCCACGTACTATGAGGCAGGTCTGCAGAGCTGGGTGAATCCCCAGGCGGAGGCAGAACATGCCAACGTGGACCCACTGCCCCCACTACCCTGGGGCTCCTGCTTTGGAGCCTGATGCTCCCGATACAGCAGCTATGTCAGGACCACGACCACTCTGTACAACCAGGTCCCTCACACGACCCAAGAGGAGTCCCCGTGAGTGCAGGAACACCTTCAAGGAAAGCTACAGTTATTCCCCTAGAGCAGAGAAGGCACAAAGAGGTTCCATGCAGGCACTCCCAGCCCCATGGCAGACATGCCTCCCCCTCAGCCCATTTACTCATCTGGGACRGGGTCAAGACTGATGACATTGCCCGTCTTTGCCTCTTTACCGTAAGGAGGTGTTACCTACACAGGCAGATTTAACCCCAGCTCCTTTCTTTTCCTCTGCTTACCATCCTTGAAGCTGGATTCTCTATGGCAAGACCCCTCTCCACAGCAGGACTTGGTGATCCCCCTCCAAGATGAGCACATGAGTTGGAGTTTGTGCTCATTTGTTTTCCTTGAGTTACTGTCATGGCACATGAACAGACCCAGGCAACAGGCTCCCTTCCCAGGCCTTGCTGGCTGTGCACAGACCCAGCTGCTCTGCGCACATCTGTGCATGAGGAACATGGGATGCGGCATCTCACAAAGCTTAGAGCTTAGCTAACCCTGCTCTTTGGGGACATGACAACCAGACAGGAAAACTCCTGCTGCATTCTGTGACCTGTCCTTTGGCTGCACTGCCTGGGAAGATACGAGGGGCTGCAGCACACGCTTATTTGCTCATTCAACACCCCAGCTGAAGCTCCCCGGAGCTCAGAGGCAGCCGGGCAGACGAGACCCCGTCTCTTACCAGCGGCTGCTGCGGAGGYGGCGCTGCCTTCAGGGCGCCGAGGTCCAGGACGAGGGGTTCCCGGCACACGGGGCACTGCACTCCGGCTGCCTGCAGGGAGGGCACAGCTCACACCGACCCCAGGCTCCGACCCACACGCGGCCACACAGGGCCCTGCCTGGAGGTGACACTGGAGGGGCTTTTTTCAGCTGACCACAATCTGGCCACAGCAGGGAGATGATAGCACTATGAAATGGCCTGGCCTGGCTCACTGCTACTAATGCTGGAGGTCAGGTTTATCTTGCACCACCGGGAGTCTTGCAAATCCCTGGATTAGAGGATTAGGGAAAGAGCTCACCTTTCAACTGAAAAAGTTTCCAAGTCTTGTGGCCCCAAATTTCTAAGAATGCTCCTCATACATTGATGACTGACTCGGAAATCAATAAACTAGCTGCTGAATACTACAAATCATCCAATGTATTTGGTTGGAAAGGGCTCCTGGGAGTCACTTCGTCCACTCCCCATTCTGATTTGTGGCCATGGGCATGGCACCGACCACGTAGCACAAAGCTGCTGGGCCAGACTAGCTCTTGCTCCACGTCCCCAAGAGCAGTGACACAGAAATTGTGGGGGTCTCTTCAGGAGGAACCCCAGTGCCCAATACCTGTTCTGGGGAAGGTGCCAGGTGCTGGTCTCTCTCCTCCTGCTGCATGAGGACCTCCTCTTCCATGTGCTGGGCATAGCGGGCCAGGCAGTGGGAGTGGAAGTAGTGGTAGCACTGGGTCTTTGTGAAGGCTTCTCTCTCCTGCAGAAGAGAGAGAGCAGCTTTAAGGAGTTTCTGAGCACAGGGTTGCTTGGCCTCCCCAGCTGAGGTGGGTTTTCACTCCAGGGTCTGCACTAGGAAGCAGGGAACTTGTGTTACTGGTGACACTGAGCCACATAACCCCTTCTACTGGGCTCCATCTCCTCAGCTTTAGGACGGTATCTGCTAAATAACGTTGCCTATAGACCTGAGTGGCAGGGTTGAGATGCACCTTCCTACCTGGAATCCGTAGAGGCAAATCACGCACTGGCCATGGGGAATGTTGTTGTCAGTGAGAATCTCCTTGCCCTTCTGTGGGAGGAGAAGGGCAGACACGTCATGCAGTGGCCTCCCCRGGCCCAGGCTCGAGGCTGGCCCACTGCAGCAGGTCGCTCAGCGCAGAACAGCATTGCTGCTCTCAGCTGCCCTAACTCTCACCTCAATCAGTTCATAGAGCACCTCTGTCCCCAGCCTGGCTTCAGCAACGCGTCCCAGCGTCTGCGCAATCCTACAGCAAAGAAAAAACACTTAGTGCACGTGGGACATGTCCGTGTGCTCCCCCGCGGGCACTGGGCTCCATACACCTCCCGAGCCAGTGTCCAGGAGAACTYGGTGCTTGGCAGAGACACAAGAGCAGGTTCACGGAATGCCCTGGCCTGAGCTTGCCCAGAAGCCCTTCAGKTTTTAGGAATTCATTTCAGCGATTCCTTTGAGAATTTAGGCTTCCTTTCCTGTCACAGCGACCCTTAGGACAGGCCTGGCGGGAGCCGGAGCCTCGGGCTGGCTCTACACACACCACACGCACCAGGGACAGGAGGCAACGAGAGGCTGCGCTCGCTCCGGGCCCAGCTCCGCGAAAGCGGGACCCACACCTCGGAATCCCAAGGGATTTACACTGCATTGTTCTACCGGCCCCAGCGGAAGGAACGCACGGAAATGTGGGAGAAGCCTTTCCGAGYGCTACCACACAGCCCGCCGCCCCCTCTCCAGGGCGGATTCCAGCCTCTCCGCTCGGCGCCAGGACTCACTTCTGGATCTGCTCGTCGGAGAGCCCGCGCGGGTTGCGGATGGCGATGCCGGGCGCCTCGTGGGGGTACTGCAAGACACAAGCGGGCAGCGGGAGGCGCGGGCGGGCGTGCGTGCGGGCGGGCCGGGGCGCCGGGGCCCTACCTGCGGCGGCACCGACAGCACCAGCGTGAAGCGCACGAACTGCAGGCCCTCGTCCTGGCCCGTGGCCGGGTGCAGCGTGATGCGCAGCTCCCAGGGCTCGCACCTGCGGGCGCGGGAGCTGCGCTCAGCGGCGCCCGCCGCCGCCGCGGGGCCCGGCCCGGCCCGGCCGCGCTGCGGTACCTGCTGCCGCCGCGCGCCACCCGCAGCTCCTCCAGGTAGATGGACTCCAGCACCTCCACCTCGGCCGGCAGCGCCCTGCGGGGGGCGGCGCGGCCGTGAGGGGCGCCCGCCACAACCGGGGGCACGGGCGGGGGGGGGAAGCGGGCCCGCGGAGCCGCCGTTACCACTCGGCCGCCTCCGGCTCCTCGCCGGCCGCCGCCATCTTGCCGCGCGCCCCGGAAGCGGAACGGCCGCTGGTTGCCAGGCGACGCGGCGGCGCCGGGGGCCG